TCTATTCCTCCCTACTGCTCCTATGTTTCTCAACCAATTTCAATGATTCCTCTTTTGTTCGAAAGGCATTTCAAAGGGGAGGTGCGCATTTTGTTTGTTTTTTCAGTAGGTGGAGTAGAAATGGAGTTATTCCGAAAAACTTCATTTATGGTCCGATTTGCTTCAAATTCAAAGCACTTAAGCCTACTTAAGCCTATTAATGCCTGCTTTGGTTTCACCATCTACTATCTATATATTAATACGCTAACATAAATTTTGTCTCCGTTCGTTTGGCGATTCTAACGAACCGATTTCAAAACCAAAAACACCGTTGGAAAGGCATTTTTCCGTGTATGAGCAGAGTTTTTATGGTTTCACAATTGGTTGAAAAATACGGTCAAAACCGTCGTTTAAACATTTTCGAATTGTGTATAGATGTTGCTGCAACATGTTCAATTTGACATGTTTCGCCTGTTGTTTCACTACACATTTGAAATTAAGCTTTGAAATAAAGATAAATATGAAGATGAAGAAATAAGTGAGAACGATGAAGTCAAAAAAAAAAAATGGCAAAAGTGAAGATAAAGACGAAAATGGAGACAATGACAGATGCATAAGAATTAGGGTAACTAAAATGGTAAGAACATTTCTTGAATTTATGAAGTAAACTTCTTTAGCGGCAGTTGGTTGAGAATAAAAACATAAACAAAAATGCCTAGAGGTACAGGCAAAAACGAAGATCAAAGCAAATTTAAACACTTTAAGGTAAAGGTGAAGAGGAATATGCAAAAATAAAGATAAATATGAAGAAAAGGATGAGGATGAAGATCGATATTGTTATCGATATAATCCCGATATTTTTATCGATATAATAATCGACATTGCTATCGATAAAATAATCGATGTTGTTATCGATACTGTTATTGATTAAATAACAGCTATTTCAATCGATATAATAATCAATATAATAATCGATATTGTTATCGATACAATAATGGATATTGTTATCGGCATAATAATCGATTAAATAATTGATTTTGTTATCGATTTAGTCATTTATATTGTTAACGATATGTATAATAATCGATACTGATGATTGTTATATTTATCGTATTTTTCTATATGTTTATGGATATCGTTATCGGTATTTTTATCGGCACAGTTATCAACAGGGTTATCCATATAATAATCGGAACATGGAATGTGATCACATTAAATGACATCACATCACATTATATCACATGATATGAAGAGACATCACATGACTTGACATCACATGATATATCATCGTATGATATGACATGTCATTACATGACATATCATATGGTATGACATCATATGACATGACATCAGAGGATATGACAACACATGACATGACATCCTATCACATCACATAAAATCACGTCACATCTTATCACGTCATCGCACCTCATCTCATCGACGAGAATAGAAAAAGAAAAGGATTTAAGCAAAGATGTGAAAGATAAAAACAAAGATGAAGACCAAGGTAAAGTTACCGATTTCAAAACCAAAAACACCGTTAGAAAGATAATTTTCTGTAGATGAGGAGAGTTTTTATAGTTTCGAAATTGGTTGAAAAACGTCGTTTAAAAATGTCCATATTTGTGTATGGTTGCTTTTGCAACCAGTTGAATTTAAGCTGTTTCTCATTTTGTTTTACTTAGTATTTGAAATTAAACTTTGAAATAAGGATAAATATGAAGATAAGGAAACAAGTGATAACGATGAAGACAAAAAAAAGGCAAAAGTGAAGATAAAGACGAAAATCGAGATAAAGGCGAAAATGGAGACAATGAGAAATACATAAGAATTAGGTTAAAAGATAGGAATCGAAATAAAATCAGCCATAAAGGTTACTGAAATTTATCGAATCATCGAAGTTTATAATTATCGAAATTTATCCATGCTTATTAAGTTATCGCAACGTATCGAATTATTCAAACTGATCAATGTTTACTGAGTTGTCGAAATTTATAGACACATAAACTTAGTTGTCCAAATTTACGGATAGTTATCGAGCTATAAAAACGT